ATGTTTCCCACCGAAATGCGTGACAGGAGCTTACTTCGTCGTCGCTTCATTTTCGCAACTCTCGGGAAGAGGAAAATGCAACAAGCAGTCTGCTCCTACATTGCTGTCAGCTGAACGGTAAACCAGATTGTAATGGTACGCCGACAGCGTAATTGCCCACCTCTGCAAACGAGCTGCCGCAATGCTCGCTACACCGGTCTTGGACCAATAATCGTTGTAAAGGCTTGTGATCGCTTACCAAGCCGAACTGTCTGCCATAAATGTATTAATGGAACTTCTTTCTTCCAAAATTAAGGCTAGCGCTTCTCGCTCCGACTGACTGTAGTTCCGTTCACTTGGGGATAGCGTGCGCGATGAAAAGACGATTGGCCGTCTGGACCCATCTTTTTCCACTTTCGCGAAGGCGGCGCTCAACCCCTATGGTGGCGCATCATACACTACCTCGAGCTGGGCTTCCGGATAATAATGTGCCAAAACCGGCAATTTTACAAGCAACTCTTTTACTTTCTCAAACGCCAGATCGCACTGTTCACTCCAATCCCACAGTGGAACTCTTGCAGAACGCAGATTCAATTTACTCTTAATAACTCCGGCAAAAATTTTCCGTAGTATGATACCATGTCCGTAAACGTTCTCAGGTGCTTTTTATCTATTGAGATGGGCCACCTAGCACGGCCTTCACCTTCTCTGGTGTTGCTGATATTCCACGCTTACTGACCACGTAACCCAGAAACTTAATTTCGGTTTCAAAAATTCCTACTTTTCTGTCTTAATTCGCACTCCCCTTTCATGCAGCCGGGTTAGTAGCAAATCGAGGTTCTCAAGGTGTTGTCTTTCGTTCTTCCCCATGACCAGAATGTCATCTAGGTAGCATATTACAGTTTCAGTTCCTTTAACATGTTGTCCATCACCTCCTGAAAAATCGCGGGTGCCGACGCAACCCCGAATGCTGGGCGATTTACCGCAAAAAGTCCTTTGTGCATATTGACGGTGAGGTACTCGCTGTAAACCTTGTCCATCACCACTTGCGTATGCTCTACCCAGGTCGATCTTGGAGAACACTTTTCCTCCTGAGAGAGTGCCAATTTTTTTTTTAAGTTTTGGGTAAGGGATAGTTGCCGATGTTTAAGGAGGGGTTCAACGATGCCTTATAATGCCCGGGGATGCGTACGCTCCCATCTTTCTTTACCACCGGTACAATTGGTGAGGCAAAACAACTGCTCGAAATCGGCTCAATCACCCCCAGGCCAATTAGCTTTTCCTGTTGTTTCTCCACTGCGTCTTTTAGCGCGAACGGAATGCTTCTAGTTTTACACAACTTTGGGTGTAGTTTAGGCTTGATAGATAGGTGAGCTTGCTCACCTCGAATCTCGCCGAGTATATCGTTGAACAACTGGCGACGTCCGTCCAAGACTTGTCCCAAGGCCTGGTGGTCTTTTGCATCCACCTGTTTGAGGCTCGCGATGTCCCAGCCTCAAACACCTGTATCAGCTCTCCAGTTGAGGAGAACTGATACAGCCAGTTTCTTCCTGTAAGAGCCGAACCCTCCTGGTAGAGTGCGTGCATAGGCAGCTGGTAAGACTGGTGCTAATGTACCACGGTTACTGTCGCCGATTCGGGCGCACGCGCTCCCCTGTGTACGTACGAAGTAACACCGAAACCGGCCGTAACATCATCTGCGGAAAGCACGACCGAAACATCCGGGGCGGCATCAAAGATACAGCTTCTGCAGTGTCCAGTTCCATTTTAAGCGGCACTCCCTGAACACACATCGCAAAGTAAATCAGTCCAAAACACGGTTTCTCTAGCGTTGCCTGAAGCAGTGGCTCGACGTCCTCCGCGGTTTCGAACACGACAAAGTTTTTCCTCCGGGAGTCTTTTCGCTATGTGTCGTGTAGGGACGCTCTCAGAGGGTGGGAACTAGGCGTCGATTGCGAGGGGCACACTTTCTGAGTATGCCCCACTCAGTGGCATCTGAAACACGTCGTTGTTGGGAATCGGCAAGCCCGGTTGTGATGACGCAAGTCGCATCGCGTGCACAGCAAACCGTCTGGCGCACGTCCTCCCTCTGCAGAAAACTTGGGAAATCCTCCTGTGCTGCCCTGCTAGGCCGGCACTCTGTCACGTTCTTGGATGCCGCCCCTACTGATAATGCGATTTCTACCGGCTTTTGAACATCAAAGACGCATCCTCAACAAAAAGCCTCTACTGGATTTCAGTCCGGGCCAACCCCCATAAGAATTTGTCTCTCAGCGTTTCTGCTAGGTTCGCACAGAAGTTGCATGATTGCGTCGATTGCTTGAGGCGCGGCAAGAACTCCGGGATGCCCTGGGTCTCTTGTTGTGTTTTCCGGTGAAACTTTGCGCTTTCCGTGATAACTGATAGCCTGGACGAAAGATGCTTCCATAGTGCTTTCTGCAGCTCTACTAAAGGATGACTGGCTGGCGTGCTCGATGCGGTCTAACTCTTCAACAAATTGTACGTCTTCGGGCCCCCGATACTCAAAAAGGTGACTACTTTGTTCGTGTCTGAAATCTTATTCACTCGCAAGAATACGTCAATCCTTTCTTCGTATGTCTCCCAATCTGACGGAGATTCATCAGAAGGTTCCACCTGCCCAATCGTGGATGCTTCCGAGTAGATACTTCGTGGTGCATCCTGCATGCTTCCGAGTATATACTTCGTGGTCCTTCTTGCACCCTTGTTTGAGTCTCCGTCTTAACGGTCCCCGTGGAACTTCTCAACAGTCTGTGTCACCATCCTCGTCGGCAAGATCTTGTTGTGTCCAAGAAGGGGGACGACAGCCGAGTAGTAATAGCACTTTGGGTTTATTGTCAGCCGGCCTTCAAACCGCGCGTATCGCTGGTCAAGCACTGCAAGTATAAACAGCCATGAAGCGATTGTATCAAGATGAAAAGAGGATAAAGGAAGCGCCGCCCTAGCATAGACACGTGGTCATAATTCAGCTATCAAAGTGGGCAATGAACTATCATGGACACGGGGTGATGATCCAGCTGTCTGTTTATCGGAATACAAACACTACAGGTAATTTCCTCGATTGCGCACTAGTGTTTTCATACTGGCTCTTAAGCCGAACCTTAACGACATTGCTATAGTGTAATACCTTGATTGGGGTGCTAGCAAACATATATAATCTTAGATTTATCTTTATTAATATTCTGAAATTTAGGCGCAGTGCAACATCTTCTGTGATGAATGATCGCTGACTGCCTACATCAAAGGTGCCTCCTCTATAGCCACTGCCCTCTTCACTGATTTTCCACGCACCGAATATGAGGTGGTGAATGGGATTGCACTCGCATTGCCCGCCCGAAGACTTCTGCTTCGGGTCAGAAGAATAAAGTCAGACGACAGATTCCATGTTTGTTTCTTCTTCCTTTGTCTGGGCGAATACGCATCGTGCGTTGTTAATACATGTCGTCCGTTGAAATTTTCGCATCACGACCGCCTTTAGGTGATCACTTGCGCGATGTCTTTTGGTGCTACAGCCAAAACATAACATGTCTCTTCCTGACATTTTCCTTTCGATGGGCATTGTTTTTTGAGCATCGCAAAAGTGCGTATCATGCTTCCTTGAGAGACAGAAGAAACATTCAGCTGATAGTGAAAGTGACGAGCTGTGGAGAGCGGAAGCAGTTCGAAGAGATTCTGGTTTTCTTTCTTTCGTACCAGGTGTACTGTGGTTGCTATTTTCACTTGCTTTCTACTTCAATGCAAAGGAATTGTAGCTTTTCGTCGAGTGCCGATGTAGACGCAGGTGCAGGTGATGTGGCTGCGTCACACTGATCTGTTGCTGCATTTATTGAAAGCTTGTATCTAACTCATGTATAATATTGCACCACGATGTCGTATGGTATCGATGTGACGAAGATATCGCAAAGTATGTCTAAGAAGTTTGATGTCGGCACGTTTAGTGCATTAAGATATCTGCTGCTCAGCTGCGCATCGTCGTGCAGGTTACTCAAACCTCGTGTATCTGTAGACGATAGATTTTGTGGAAGATTTTGAAGGGCCGCCAATGCACTTGCTCTATACTCCGTAGATCACTGAAGCGTTGCTTCAGTAAGCAATGTCACCGGCATAGCACCCTTCCGTTATTGGTAGGCCGGCATTTGCAGCTGCGGCGTCAACAGTGATGTAGCGTCACTAATAATGGAACTCATTTGTTGTTAACAACGTTCGGTTGGAGTGGATCGTTCTTTCGAACGATCCACTCCAAGAACCCAGAGTGTCCGCCAATTGTTGTCTTCCACCTGAATGTAAATATTTCCAGCCTTGGTAGCCTAGATCCACTCATCCTGGATGTAGTCGTTCGGACCACCCGAACAGTGAGCGTCTGCTAATTTCCAGTCCCTCAATTTCAAAGCAGAGTTCGGCAAGAAACAAGTTGGTCTGGCTTTGAAATTCGTAGCTGCTGTGCACTTGACCTCAAAGTCGTCAATCGGAAGTACCGGCTCAAACTGTCCAGCTATGCGTTGCCCGTAGTAAGGCGTTATTTTATTCAGATGTGAGTCTGGTAAGGTCTAAATGAGGGTTGTTGAAGAGTGCAGTACCGCCGTTTATTATGCTGGTGCTATGGCCTCGTAGAATGGTACGCTTCGGTTTTAATATATTCATTGCGGTGGGGCCGATAGGTTATTGCAGTGTTGCATGAATTCTTCTTGAAAAGTCTTCGCTTTTCGTTCCCTATGGTTTGTCCCCGTCATTAAAGTTTCCAAATAGTGCAATTGAGGTTAGCAAAGAAAGTGCCAAGTACCCGGAAAATTCGCAGTATCGTCTTGATTGGGAGATGATGCCGTGGAGCAGCCTCCCATGTTTCGGCACCAAAATGTCGAGGATTTTTTCCGTTTCATAAGTAGGACGTTAAAAGGCCACGCAATGATTCAGATTCCGTTGATTTAGTTTTACTTAAACCGCCCTAATCCTTCTACTTCGTATTCATCAGTCGCTTCTTCCTTTTCCTTCTTGATTCTCTACAGCTGCTGCAGTCAAGTCCAGTACAGAGTCTACAGATGGCGGTGTAGTTACGCAAACTACAACACCGGCAGTGGTTGGAAATGGCGCAACATCTATACCGTCTACAAAGGACGAGGCGGGTACGCCAACTATAAAAACAAGAGATTCCAGTGAAGATAAGCAAACTGCAGCACCAATAGAAACCGAATATGAAACAGAGACTAGAACGTCGGCAAAAGTCAAGGAAAGTGAACCAACTACAACAACCAAAGATGCTCGTGACAATAAACAAGCTACAGAATCACCAAAGGCCGATGGTGATATGAAAGCTACAGCATGGAGAAAAGGCGAAGCAGGTACGTCAACTACAACAATTGGAGATGTCGGTGAAGAAACGCCAACTACAGTATCAACAGGTGCTGGAGATGATCTAAAAACTACATCATCGACATGGGTCAATCCTCGTGCGCCAACTGCAGAAAGCAGAAATGGCGATGAAAATACACAAACTACAGCATCAACAGAGCCCGGGGTTACTGTAGAAACCACAGCATCGATAAAGCGCGGGGAAAGCTCGCCAACTACAACAACCGGAGATGTCGTTGAAGACACGCAAACTACAGCATCCACAAATGCTAGAGATAGTACAAAAACTACAACATCGGAAAAAGACAAGGCAGCTGAACCAAGTACAACAATCAGAGATGTCGGCGACGATAAACAAAGTACAAAATCAACAAAGGCCGGAGATGTTATGAACACGACAGCGTCGATAAAAGGCGAAGGAGGCGCGTCAACTACAACAACCAGTGACGCCGGCGAAAATAAACAAACTACAGAATCCACAGAGGCCGGAGATGTTACGGAAACTACAGCATCGACAAAAGACGAGGGAGGTAAACTAAAAACAACCACAAGAAAAGTCGGTGAAGGTACGCAAACTGCATCATCAACAGAGGCCGGAGATGGTGTAAAAACTACATCGACAACGGTCAAGCCGGGTGCGTCAACCACAAAAAGCAGAGATGTTGGTGAATATACGCAAACTGTAGCATCAACAAAAATTAGAGAAGGTGTAAAAACTACAGCATTGACAAAGGGCGAGGCAAGTGAACCCACAACAAGCACCAGAGAAGAAGGTGAAGATACGCAAACTACATCACCAACATATGCCGGAGATGGTATAACAACTACAGAATCGGCAGAAAGCGAGGAAGGTACGCCAACTACAACAACCAGAGATACCGGTGAAGATACGCAAACAACAGCATCAACAGACGCCAGAGATGGTATGAAAACTACAGCATCAACAAAGCTTGAGCCGGGCGCGCCAACTACAACACACAGAGGTGGCGGTGAATATACGCAAACTACAGCATCAACAGAGGTCGGAGGTGTAAAATCTACAGAATCTACAAAGGAGGGAGCAGATGCGCTAAATACAGCATCCGCCGGGACAAAGCAACATGCAGCATCTACTGTACCAACCACAGGCAGTATTTCAGAAGGCTCTTCGAAGGACAGAGCACCATCAACGCCGTCAACACGTTCAGACCCCGAAAAGTGTGAGTAATAGATATCTAAATTTAAATGTGGTATTGTTCATCTTTATCAACATGTGTCTTGCCCTGAATATTTAAGCCTGTGCATAATTTGTGGGTTTCCGTACACTGTTTTATCTGTAATTCGCTGTATATAAAATGCAACCTGCGCACTGTTTGCGGCTCGGTATGTTTCATCCTAGGAGCGTCAAATATATTTTGCGGTAGTGAGGGTTGTCAGTTGGAGCTGGAGGTTTTTGGCCACATGCAGTGACTGCCTCAACTATACTAATTGTATTCCTCCTTCTCTTAAGCAACAGCAGTAGAGTAGATACCATCGTTCAAATTAGTTACGTGCAATCCATAGCACTGCACTTACCAGCTGATGATTTATCATCAAATTAAGTATTCCATCATCCAGTGCTTAGGTAGTGTTCAATCCTGACGCTTTATACACCTAGGTGGCCAGAAATATTTTCATTTAATTTTTTTTAAAGTTGAAAAAACACGATAATAGATGGTGCCTTAATGTACAAGGTATTTGAATTTCAGGTTTAGACACCTTAAAGTAATACCCTATTCGGGGTAAGCGAAATCCCTTGCAACTAGGTTTGCTTCCATGTGGACAGTTAGGGGAGGACAAGAGTAGTTCGCACTTCTTTCAGGGAGTAAAATTTATTGTTTAATTTTTATTTGCAGTAATTCTGGCATGCATTTAAATCAATTTCGAGGTGGCATTATATTCCTTAAAATCCGTCCCCGTCGTGTTTGCCTTCGTAATTCGCACAGCTTATTTACTATCCAGTGAGTTGCACTGAACATTTAGTATGTAGAATCTATTGGGTAAATAAACCGGTATCCACGTTGTTATCCTTCTGGTACTGGTTACTGGGGCTTAGGCGGGAGTAGAGTAGGCTTCACGGCTATTTATACTTCTAAAAACTTTTCTCCAAAATGTAGACGACCCATATTCGTGGCGCTACAGTTCACACCCCTACAGATAGACGACACCCTCCACTCCCCACCTCCCATTTCGCAACCCCAAAACCAAACGTTCTTGCTACACTATTAACCTCATAGGTTAGTTGACAATGTGTCAGTCGTCCCGTCTGTAAATGTGCCGTGAATTATGTATATCTAACAGCGACGACAGTGAGCAAGACGGATTCTGCTAGTTCTGCAACTACGCCAGAAACCACGTCAGCCGGCACTTCTGAGGCGCCGACATCAACCGAATCAACGCCTATTCCTGACAGGAGTGAGTGTGAAACATTCAGCTGGGAATTCAGAACGCTCAGAAGTTAGGAAGTGATTGGGGTTTCGAACTTTGAAGTTGCAATAATTACATCAGTTAATTTTAAATATATTTCTACTCTATAGGCATGGCGTCCGAAATGCCGCTTCACGGGTTCTATTATCTCGCATGAAGGTCTTTGAAGAGCCGCACTATATGTGTGACCGAAAACTTTGTTAACGAAAGCGAACCATTGTAATGTTGTAATGTTGACATAATGTTTCATTTTATTACCTTGAGCGGGCGAACGGAATGAACCTAAGTAGTGCAAATTGCAAGAGGCAGGAAAAAAAGACAGTCCGTTGTTATATATCCTTTCGCTTCAAATGTGCATACATAATATATATATATATATATATATATATTGTAAACGAAGAGGGGAGAAAGTGAATATTAAATTTAATTTATCAAATTTAGAGGAAGGGAAAAGGAAAGAGGGCTGGCGAAAAATAGAGCCAGGAACGGGGATTGAACCCGCAAACTTCGTTGGAGGTTCGATCCCCGCTCCGGGCCCGATTTTGTGCCACCTATCATTGCCTTGTCCGTCCCCTAACTTTGATATATTTAATTGAATGATCGTTTTCTTCCCTCAATGCATATGCTTCCCGGTAATGGAGACCTGACCACTTCTAGGCGATGATGTTATAAAATGTCCTATTGCTTTGTGATGAATAGCTGAACTCAAACAATGTATTTGATCACCGCGCATTTTGTACATTGGAGACGCCAGTGCGTGGATATGATTAAAGGAGCCATAGAACGATTTTTCTACTTTCGCTGAAAATTACTTACAATCACTCAATATTTAATCACTTTCTTATGTTAATAACTGAGAAAAAACTTGCCTTAGTCTCTTTCTAAGCAATGGCATTAAAAAAACAATTCTAGAATTATGAGCACAGTTCATCCCGTCACCTCGTAGCCAGAATAACCGGGGACGTTGCCACGTGCCTACCCTATGCCGCCAACATTGAGAATACCCACGCGCTGGGGTCGGCGAAGTGAAAAACGTGTGCTGAGCTCCGGGCATTGTTTCGCTATTTTCATCACCGCAGCGCTTGTAGAAGGGCGACTACCCGAGTGGCCGGTGAGGCATTGATTGTTACCAGCCGAAGCCGAGTGCTCATGCCGTTCTTGTGTCCATATCATGAGCCGTGCTTGACTGTCGGCAGGCGGGTGGTTTCGATGCCACAATTACATCATCAATTCTAGCGAAGGAAACTCTGAAGGAAGCAGTCTCCTTTTACCCTCGCAAATTCACCGCGACAAAAAAGCTTTTGACTCAGTGCTGGTTTGTGCGAGTATACTTGGGTTAGGCTAAGACCAGTACGCCTCTGCAAAGTCATGAACATTCCAACCTGATATCGTTTCACGGCCCCTATAATCTTGTTGGCATAACATAGGCACCAAGCCAAGCGGCCGCTTGCTCTGGCTCCAAGTTGAGGGGATGAACGATGCTCCTATTTCTCGAATCTATATGCTGATTGTCTTTGTTTAGAAAGAAAAAATAAGTCAAGTTTATTTAGGTATTAAAGTTACAGAGCGATTCTGAGCAGTATTTAGCAAAAGTAGAAAAATCGTTTCATTGGCCTTTAAAGATGAACGGAGCATAGTCGGTTCCTTTCTCTTGTAAAGTATTTTGAATAACACCTGCTTGTTACCAGCTAGCGTCTCGCCTTTATCATAGCGCAGGGCCAGCTGCGAGACGCTCTTACACGCCGGGAAACCTGCGTGTAACGGCAGTTTGTGTAGTATGACGTTCGAACGAAGCAACCAAAAACCTAGGCATGCGCGTGATTTGAAGAGGTGACAGAACTTAAGCAAGTTGAGGACGCATGGAGTGAACCGGGACGATGGAGTGCACAGTCAAGTCATAAAGAGAGCGAGTCGTTGAGGGAGGGGGGGGGGGAGCTCTGTTTAGAGTAATGCTATCACGTTTGAAGACGTGTTCTTAACGAAAAAAATTTCTGAAGTGTGATCTGAGAAGGGAGATGATATATTAACGTCTTTAAACATTCGAAAACATTCACGATGATCTAGAACCACTCCTCGAAGTGAAGACCCACATAAACAACGAGACATTCAGCAGCGTTGAGCTTTGTGACAACATGACGCAGCACTCTATCAACGTACGGGTACGTTTCAAACCAACCCCAATCCGCTAGCATATAAGGTAAAAAAATTACGAGAACAAATATCTCGGGAGTAATAATTCTCCCTCCGTCAACCTCAAGCATGGTGCAATAATATGAAGTAGGACTAGCAAGGAACGTAGTCCACGGGGTTGATCTTATCAATGGCTTACTAATTAAGCATGTTTTTACAACATTAAATACAGGTTTACTATACGTGATGAAAGTGTTCGCTCAAGGTATATTTTCCGATTATTTCAAATGAGCAAGAGTGCGCGCAATACCGAAATGATTTAGGGTAGCAAAATAATTTGAAAGCATCTAGTCATATATATGGTCCTGCGCTTTTCTAACAAAAAAGTTTGACGGTGAGTATTAAACGGTTCTTAGTGACTCTCCTTACGGAGCATGGTGCGGTCACCCGTGCCTCATATTACGTTGCATATAATAATTCCGTTTTTTTTTTCAGCAACATGCAGCGAAAGCAAGACGAACGAGTGCCGCAGAACACCATTTGGAAAGTGTGAAGTAGTCAACGGCGAGGACCAATGCTCTTGCGAACCGCCAATGAAGCTGCTGGGCAAGAAATGCAAATTGGGTAAGTGCTTAACATTAATAATCCGATAGCTTTTTAATTGTCGTATATGCGCGCCGGATCGTTGCGATTGCCACAAAATCGGATGGGTCGTAAAACGTCTATAAAATTATGACTTTAATTATTTGTTCACTTAGCAGCGACACATTTATATATTAATACGTGTTTTCCCCACATTATCGATATGTCAACTTCCCGAAATTCCGGTCTCACAACGCATTTGTAAACTTGACAGTAGCTGGATCCCGCATGCGCGGAACGAATCTATGGCACGCATCCTCGTTTTCTAACTTTTCAATTCGACTTAAAGACCGGCATCAAGTTCCTAGCGCGTTTCATGAAACTATGCAAGCCGTTCTTTCAGCGTGTCGGGGCCGGTTGCACCAACGGCGCTTGGCTGAAAGTTGAGCTTAGCCGGGAAACTAAGCTTAGCTTCGGTTTCGATGTGTTACACCAATAACGCTTATCGCTAAACATAGCACTTAACCCCGCCTATCGTGCGCGCTCAATATTGGGCGCTTCGCGTTTAGTTGTTTCTTAATTCCGTGTTTAAGCAATGGTGACTGTTTTGTGGCGGTCGACGCGGTGGGAAAAAGTGGACGTAATAAGTGTTTTAGGCTATAACAGCGTGATTGTATGAACGTAATGACCTTCGATAGTGACAAGAAGACAAAATATTGTCGTGTGGAGTGTTAATCAACCCCTGTTTTCAAGTTGACTACCCACTCTGAGTGCGCGTTAGCCCTAACCGGTGTAGGTACTCAGCTCTGGGGCTAAAGTTAGTCTTCCCCATTTTTTTTAATGTCAAAGTACTTATTCGTGCGTAATTATTAGCGCATACCTCTAAGGTATTGCTCTTTAAAACCTTGTTTATGTATGCTTTAAAGGTATATCCTTTATTCCGATTGGCTCGTAGTACCGCGGCGGTGCATAATCTCGGCGATCAGCAGATTATTGTACACTTTTTCCGTTCGCATCATAATGCCGCGAACGCCTTCTTTTAAATATGAAAACAGCGAAAGTGACATTTCTTTCGTTCTTGAAACTTTTAGACAATCTTCAATAAGTTTTTTTCTTTTTTTAGGAGTACAGTTTTAGCTTTGAAAAACTGTGTCGTTCTACAACCGAAACTTTCCAGGTGATTGCGCGTTGTAGAGATATTTGGCTTTATACCTTTCCTTCGTGGGGACGACAAATCATACCGACTAGGATAAGAGATATGTTCAGCACAGTATTGTGTAAGACTACGTAAAGTGATGCGAAAATACGGCCGTTCTCGTCGACGCGACGTGATGAACTACTTGGAGTTCTGGAACTTCGAAGACGACCGCCCTCTATTTGTTTCTGCCAGGTAGTCAACAGCATTGCCCGTACCAAGTTTTATAAATCTCTCTTACCACTCATGAACGAGCTCTTGGTCGTTCTCTATCTGCAGAACTAAAAAAAAAAAAAATTCTGCGTGACTTTTGGGTGTTCATAATTTGAGTCTTTCCAATCATCACGGGATCCATAGGTAGCATCGGTTTGATGTATGGGAAATTTCCCTGTTTTCCCCGTCTCCAAAAACAAAATATATTTAGTTCCATTACCTAGGTGTTTGACACAATCACTCCATTTCAAAGTGTCATTTGTGTGCTTCACTGCACACCAATTCCTAAGCAGGCATTGACAGTAGAACGTGTCGATCTCAGTTGCGGTATGTACAGTGTGCAGAAAATATTGGTCTACCAGCAGTTCATTCAGAGCTTTCCAGCACGGTGGCCACGCCAGTAGATGGCAGCATTCTTTTCAATAAATGGTTTTTATAGCAGATGCCGAAAGCAATTAGATTCCAGGACAGTGGCCTTTTCCTGGGAGGTGAAGCCTTCGCATTTTCATGAGACATCATAACACTACTTGCGGCATCAGAGACCATTGTGTAAAGAAGGCAAGACAGGGCTGATATCTGGATATTTATGTTGAAAGTTTAAGACCCTTCTTCAATAGCTGAATGCTGTGACCATCACATGCATTAAAGTTTTGTTCTATAACCCTTCAGCAAAGCGCTCCCATTTCCTGTGCTTAAAATTCTGGGTTATGACAAAAACTACACATAGACATATCCACCCCATGGAAAGGCACTAGAATGTGCAGAAATGCTGTTTTTCTGATTTAAAGTTGAGCCCGAGGGCTGAACATTGCACCTTCCGGCATTGTGGCCACAGCAGGTCTCTATAACCTGGTGCTTGAACCGATCAAAGCAGAACTCCCTGTGGATATAGAGCTAGTAAAGCATTCCCGTGTTTTCCCAGCTGTGCCAACCATACCATCGCCTTGCAATGACAAGAGCAGCAGTAAGACCATTCTCATCAAGTATGTGTTTGCGACGAGCCGAACTGTTTCTAAAGAGAGGTTTCAAAATACTGGTCGGGCATCGTAAGGAACATCATCCTATGACAACTTCTTTGGTCGACACTTTGATGCTGAGTTTTGTAGAGGCTCATTTCCCATCCTTACTTATTTTATTAATTTCACTCTTACCTTCCTAAACACTAAATTCTACTGTACTCATGTTACTGTACTCATGTGTAAGCTTCTAGAAGATATAGTATTCTAACATATTCCTTTATGCAAGTTGTGCGGTGCATGGTGTGCACTGGTGTCGCTGCCCCTGACCTGAAAAGGGTTCGCATAGATTGAACACCAAAATTTATTGTGATCTCTAAATTATTTTTAATTTCTAGACCAGGAGCGCAATTTAGTTGTCTCATATATGCAGATAACCAGAGTTGGACTTAGCATCTTTCAGTTCTAGGCAGTCTAAAAGTACCTCCTCCTCCTCCCCACTAAAGGAATATCCACATACATGTGCACATATGTTTACAGGCCAGTTTGGGAGCATTTTTAGAGCACTTTAGAGCAATAGCTACTTCCGTAACACCTTGCATGACGTCGAAGTTACAACGGTATTTGATATTATTTAACCACAAGTGCAGTAGTTCAGACTTGATCGCCGAGCAAGTAATTTTCACACGTTTCAAGCACGATGAGAATCGTTTGGCGTTGCAGTGCCATTCTGACAAGCAGAGGAACACACAACAAATCAGTGCGGATAAAAGAAAATTATCCTGTCGAAGGCGTCTAGTCGTATAAATATCTTCTAATTATTGTTGGTCAGTGCCCCCTCTGTTCTCTAATTCTTTCCGGGAACAGTGTTCCCCCTTTCCCCAATTTCTGCTGCCCCAAGCAGCTGCCTACTCTGCCTTTTGGTTAGTTTGCCACTGCAAATGGGAACTTCAAAGGAAAAACAAAAAGTAACTAGGATTGAGCACTACAATGTCAACATTGTCAGTGCTTACTTTAGTTTTACTTAGTGTTTCACCGTTTGTTGGTGTTTTGCTTTTCTCTACGCTAACAGTTGTTAGTCTCCGTCTCCTTTTGCAGCTGTGAATGATTTCCTAACCCCATAGCGATGGTGATGTTAGTGGTGCCATAGCTGTTTTCTTCCTATTTGCAGCACAGTAGTCAGCAACTATCATAAGAATCCACGAGTTTATTGGAACTTAGAAATATGTGAAAGCTAAGTAAAAACTAGATTCATACTGAGTTTAGAAGCACGTGACATGTATCATGGTCTAATAGATGATGGCATTAGTGACAAACTGTCCATACAAATTTCAATGAAGACACAAGTCAAGCGTTTGGTTGCAGTATTACACTTGTACCAAAACCGTCTAGTTCAATAGACGAGTGTGGAGAATGTGCTCATGTAGAATTCCATATTGTAATTGTACGATAATAAATTAAGCATTCATCTCTACACGTAGAACTACTTAGTGCCATTTATATTTGCTCTATGGTAAAAAGCACTATGCCACAACACACATGTCATGCCTATCAGGAATAACAAGTTACCACAAGAGGTGTTTTGCTACAGAGCAAATAGATCTGGGTAGGACAATATTAAAAAAATCTTCCCCTGCATTTAATTTTCTTGAACAAACAAAAATATTAAAAATAGCATTCAATGAGACGTGCAGAGAACGTCCACGTTCGATGTCAGCCCTCATGTCATTCCCTGCCGCGTCGCTTGGCAAATACGTCAGACACTTTGGGTTAACTTCAGTTTTCTTGCAACGACTTTCCTCACAGTCCTTCATTTTTTTCTTCTGTCATGAAAACTTCCGCTTTAATTCTGTCTTAGTTTTATGTATTCGACGCATTGCCTTGTCGTCCTCTACATGTTTTTTTCTTGCGATGACACGCTGGTGTGGTTCTCTCCTTCCTCTAAACGACACGCGCAACGCATGACTCTGACGTGGGTTGCGAAAGTCGCCAATGAAGCGCAGAGACGGCAGTGGGAGCAAGCGTAAAAAAAAGCGACTGTACGCTCCTCTCCTGCTACCTTCTCTTCCTTTCTGAAGCAACCCGCCCCTTTTCACTTGTGGCATGCTCCTCGCCAATACCGCGCCGGGAACGTAAGCGAAATGTCTTGAAATTATACTACCACAGCAGGTGCCACAATTCCATGGGGCTAATAAAGCAGCCACAAAAGTGCATCGTCAAGATGATCATCATCTTTGTATGGTTGCCAACGCAGACTAAGGTACTGACTCAGAGGAAATGCTCTGAGTTCCTAGGTTTTTAAAGCATGAAATGCTTTCTAACGCTACCCACAATCCCAAAATGTTGTCCGTCCGTCCCTCCGTCCGTCCATGCATTTCCCGCTAAGTATTGCGTGGAAATTGATATTACGAAGCCTATACAGGAAGTCAGTTCCTCATCCAAACTGAGCGGGAAAATTTATGTCACGTGACCTGACATCACGGGACATAAAGGCCAATTCAGTTTCCCCGCAAAGTATAGCTCAAAAGAATGATGTCACGTGGCCTATAGACAAATTTAGTTTACCCACTAAATTTGGCGAAACATGGCGTCATGTTACGTCACCTCACGTCAAGTGACTGACACACCTCGGGAATATTGACGGAATGTGACTTCTATGTCAAGATATCAACTTAGATTCCCCGCTTAGTTTAGCGGGAAAATGCACGTCTTGTAGGCAAAACATGAATTCAGTTTTCCTGCTGAATTTAGCGTGAAATTTATGTGACGTAACCAATATACCTATTGAGTTAGCCTCTAAATTTAGCGGGAAAATTCACGTATTGTGACCTACACATCAACCCAGTTTACTAGCTAAATCTAGAGGGGAAATTGACGTCACGTGACCTAGACAAGCATTCAGTTTCACCGATATATTTAACGGGAAATGTGCGTCACATGACACACCAATTCCCTCACCAGTAGATCCTTTCAGAAAGAGTGCAATGATGCGTAGATTATGCACAGCCACCACTAGTTGGTCTGATCGCTTCTGGCGTGAAGCCCATGATTGGCTTCTGAGTTCGCGGCGAGCACTGACGCAGCACTCGTGTTGAATGCGCTCTGATCCGAGTGCACACCGAATTCTTACGAAGCGTTCGCGTCTCACTCGTGCTCACAGTGCACGACCAACTGATGGCTGCCGCACATAATCTACGAGTCATTTTGAAATTTCCAAACAGTGCTTATTCCCTCGCCAAATACCCATAAATGCATTTCATGCCTTTTGGGCCGTTGATTGTAAATAAATTCGCTGCCGTTCTTTCCTCTGCGCGATTTACTCCTTAGTAGCGAACATACAAAAACGTCGAGCCGCGTGACGAAGCACTTTTGTCGCTGCTCAATTTGCTTTATCGAATCGTAACTTCGGATGCTGCTTGACTTTGGAGTGAAACGGAGCACCTATAAACCGTTTCTCGTTATGCAATTCTACATTCAAAACTTATCTCTATTATGCGGGATCTCGCTTATTTCCACATTACCTTGTTGTTATTGGTTGTAGCACTGAATCTTATACTGGAATTTTCTTACGCACGAGTCTCATTCGGTCTCTTGTTTCGACGAATAACGCCACGCGCTTCATTTACAACAAACGCCCCCCCCCCCCCCCCCCAAAAAAAAAAAAAAAAAAAAAAAAAAGTCATTTAAAACGTTGTTTTTGCGTACGAAGCCAGATCGGGGCTTAGATATCCTCTGCTGGCTAAGACGGGGACCTTCGAAGAAATGTGTATGCTCTGCCTATGTTACATCGCACTGCGGCCGCTACGCTACTGGCGCAATTCGTATCTAAGGTGTGGGAAAGAATAAACACAGTGCGGGCCGGGCAAATCTATGTTGTTTTGGCAGGAGCCTACGTTCTCGTCAAAACGCCACGACGGGGAAAAGCTGAGGAAGGTGCCGATATCAGTTTTATCGTATCTCCTGCGTGCCCGATTCGTCCAAAAACGTATATAGGTGGCATGAAAAGGAAAGTTTATAGACGCCATTGGATCATGATCGCCTGTGCGGGAAGCACTTCGAAGTAAATTCACGGAGACTCGTTGCCCCACTCCCCACTGCGGCGGTGCGGCGAAGCCCGCGAGCTCCAGGCATTTCGTGACGATGCATCTGCTTTGCTGTGCTTTTTTCTTTGTGTTTTATTTCTGAGGCGCGTCCGCTTTTACCTTGAGCGCCCCGTTGACTTTTGTGACGAAGCATCTGCGTGGCTGTGTATTTGGTGATGGGAAATTAACTGCCATTTCACTGCTACAGACAGTAGAGACAACGTCGTTTTGCTCCATGGGACGGTTAATACTTTCGCATTAAAAAGCACGGGGACAAGCACCGACGACGAACACATCGCTTCCCAATGATTTGTTAATAAAGGACGCAGCATTTCCTGCCCCACCCTATCGCGCATGCGCACTACTGCCTCTAGGGGCTCGCCGGTTTGCTTACGAAAATGAATTAATGTATACCATATTCCTCGGCCTCATAATGCTCAGTCTTCTTGGTTCAAGCAATGGCGGTTTGAACAGCATTCGTGCTCTTGAGGGCACGAGAGTAGGCGTACAAGTATTGTCTCAGATATACGTGAAAGTTCATGGAATACATTTTTTGTACAAAGAATAAATTTCTGATTTGCATATATTTGTGGTTCGCCCCAGCCACATGGAATTAAGACGAAAAGAAGAAAACTTAAGAACTGGTAAAAATACAATGACATCTGCATACACGACAAAATGCACAGAAAGATGCCTAGCACTAAAGAAAAAAAACAGCGTTAGCCAATAGTGAAGTAGCCAGAAAATGGCAATCTTATGTCACTAATATTTGCAGGACCGCCTTTATCAAGGTCTTGCTACCACCAGGATTGATAAGCGAAAAGAATTAGCATCACAATAATGACATTTCAGCAAACAGATAAAACACAAGCAGAACAATTATGTATGATTAATATTGAAAACGCAAACAGAACAATTATGAGTAACATATAAGGCTATGATATGACTATTTAGATTGTAGAAGAAACTAATTCTGTTTGAACTAACCAAATTATTCAGCTCTTTCAGAAGATAATATAAACGGCGATCATAGATGAATTGCTTGTAACGCGAATTTCTTAATAAGGGGCTTTAAACATTACACTGTTTGTTACATTTACAGTGACAGACAGAGTAAAAGACACAAAGCGTGGTTTGTAATGCTCACAACAGTGGTTCCGCGATACGTTTTTTTGACGTTTTTAGTGTCGGTGAATAAAATAATCGCATTGCCTGCAGGCAGATACAAGATGTTCAGGTCTCGCCACACTTTGTGTTCATTAATCTGTCGAAGACGATAGTTTGAACTAATGAAATTCTGTTTTCGTTTCTCCTTTTGTATTTCTGCAGAAAAAAAGATACTCGTAAAGGTGACGTTCAAGGTGACTAAGAAATCCCAAACTCTATACAGCAACGACGATGGATGCCCGTCCGATGAAGATATTAAAACAGAGGTAAGTATTAGTCTGTAAAAAAAAACTTAGCCGAGAGAAGTCGAGAAAATTAATGGCAATTTTGCGAAGCTCAGTCTACAGCTAAAAGTATTATTGTGAAAATTTCAACAGTTACGACGGAATTAACTGACTTGACAGCTTCATCAGACATAGCTTTCAAGGGCCCCTGAAAATAACAAAAAGTCTTTTTATATACAGTTTGGTTCGGACGCGCGTGTCAACAAATATATTTTACGCGAAAAAAAAATTAGAGCAATGTTCACGGCGAGAAATGTTTTTAAAATTCTACGCGCAAAGTCCATGACGTCATGGATTCGTAATTCGCTGTTTCGGCCTCAACGAGGTGGTCATCCGCTCTTTCTACCTCAACGTGAAGGCGAAGCGGATTCACCTCTCCTCCGCGCGCCCAGACAGAAAACAAGTGGAAAGGAGGTGACTACCGACTAAACCGCGTGTCGCGCCGTCAAATTGCTCTAAAAATATTTTTTCGCCTAAAATTATTTTTTGACACTATCCCCGGTGAGGTTGTCTAAAAATTATTTTCAGGGGCATTTTAATGCGCCTCGGCTGCAGATAAGTTTTTATCGCAATATTGTTTCTAGGCTTTTTGAATAACGAACTATCTAGAGTTAGTAATGGTACCACAACCTTACTTCTAGCAAATTAAATCCACAAATTAGGCATGGTGAGTATAGAAGGCATTGCAAATCGAATGACACAGAGAATCAAGAAACTCATGTCGTTGTAAATGAGCATTAATCATTCTTTGGTGATAGAAGCGACTAAAAATAAAAAAAATTAAAAAGAACAATGAATTGTTGGCATAGGGACAAACATAAAACTGCTAATTGAAGCTTAAAGGTGTGAGCCTAGCAGAGTACTAAGAATGAGAGTTGTTCAAGCTCTCCCGTTTAGAACGAGCTTCGATAGAACTATTACGACACAATCAAGGAATATATGCCCACGCAACTATTTTGGCAAATTCAAGCACTCTTTTTTTTGTGTGTTGCGCTATTCAAAAAGCAAATAATATTGAGTTGTCTGTCACTTGAGCCGCCTGACAAAGAAATAAATGTATATTATTTTACTTAAGCTATGTAAAACACTTTCTACGGTATAAGATAAAAGAAAGATGCCCTGTTTAGTAACAACTCCAGTAGTAATACCTTCTAACACCTACTAGCCATGGAATGCTGCGACATTTTTGTACAAAATTACATGTAATATTTATATGTGGGCACTTCATTAATGAACATTGCCATTATAATAATAATATTTTAATCCCGATTATTTTTTTTTTTTATCGGAGGAATCGATTAAATTTTGACAAACAATGGGACAAGTACAAAAGAGACTTTTTTGACCAGGGAGACAAGAACCAATATAAAAGATGTCGCAAAAAAATTTACAGGGTTCTATTTTTACAGAAAAAAAAAAACTAGGCATCGCCGAACGCTCATTCTCTGCCCAAAGGTAGCGCTAGAGGTCACAACCAGATGCCAAAGTGTCAGCCCGATCTGATGCCTTATTCAAAGCTGATTTTTTGAAATTTTCAATGGGAAACTGGCGGCCGGCGGAGTTTTTGAATACATGGTGCTCTATGGGCATCAGAAACCGGAAACGGACAAAAATCGGCTCCATTTTCCCATTGAAAATTTCAAGAAATCACTTATAACTTTGGAACAAGGTGTCGGATCGGGCTGAAACATTGGCATCTGGTTGTGACCTTTAGCGCTACCTTTGGGCGGGGAATGAGCGTTCGGCGATGCCTAGTTTATTTTTGCAGTAAAAAAACACTGACTTTTTTGTGACACCCTGCACATGTATGAAGGCAAACCTTTGGTGGAATTTTAAAATAAATAAACTTTAGGGACGAGATTGTAGTTCCTAACAAGTCGTAAAGGTTTTACCTGTCCCTGCAAATCACGGCGGTGCGAGTGTCCATTCAGCGCAACAGAGACTACTGTGAACAATCAAAGGCTTTTGCTATTGCCGGAGAAGATGAACGAACCTCTTTACCGCTGCTGCTCAAGTAGTCAATATTGAGTGTAAGTGTCTTGACTGTACTCAACTGCACATGAAGTTTGATTAAAACGTGAATTGTATTGTTTCTTAAATATTCAGCAAAGGCAAAATATGTAATTTTGACGGTTTCTTAACTATTATGCTAGAGAATCGACAAAACTGATTAATCGTTAGTTCACCGAGCGAAGGGTGGTGAATAATCGCGTTAAAAGTTTCCGTGGACTCCCGGCTCTGCTTTTGCATTTTCTCGGCCGTAGGATGCATACCCTTTTTATTCTAACGCGCAGGCTATATTATTAGCTTGGTGTTCTCTTGTATAAATATATGAATATTTTCGCTTGAGGCCTAGGCTCTGATTTAGATGTGTGACTTTTAGGGACTGAATCTTTCGTGCGCTTTAAGGTCAGTTTATGCAACCCTTCCAATTTCATCTAAGATCGCAAGGTGCGAGGTCGGATGTTTTCGACTTCTTAATTTTTTTTATAATAGTTTCCTAATACTTCAGCATACTTTGTTTCAAACCAAGTAGCGAAAAGTGAGCATCGTCAACGCGCCTCAAGGTATTCACGTTACCGGGTTCCAATGAGTGCCTTCGTGAACACCAGTAAACAAAAAGCTGCACGGATTACGTAAACAATTAACGTAAGCAAATTTATTGTTTTGAACCTTTCACCATATAACTTCCTGGTACTCGTAATGCTCGAAACACTTTCACTCAATATGCAAAAATCTACCTGTAGATGTATGATACACCTTATAAATATTCAAATCCTGTGTTAGACCCCCTAATTTTCGTTTTGATAAAATATAAATTTTTCACCCCTCACAATTTGCCAACTTATATAATTTTTCCGGAATTAAATGAAGATTAGAAACAGTGCCATTCATGTCGCACAACTTTTCAGGTCGACATTTTTTTTTTTGTTTGGAGTATCAGAAACTTATAAAGACCAGTGATCATGTAGTTATTTTGTGAGTAATTTGCCAAACAAGTGCGAGAGTGAGGCTTTATTTCGCGTTGTTCGTTTTCTATGTGGCAGCTCTGAGCTTAATCGCTAAACAAGTGCAAGCTTCAGGCTCCAGTTTGGGTTCTTCGGTTAATACGTCGCATTTTGGGATGAAGTTTGGCTCTTTAAAGATTATCTATTGCGACGGAGAAATGTAGCAAAAACACCACAGTAAAGTACTCCGACACCAAACAACGCTTGGAAGAAAACTCAATGAGGCCATAGTTAGACCCTTTAAGTAGCCAAGCTTGCAGAAAGTAAGGCCTTTCTCTGGCATACTCCCTGGATGGTATCTTTTTTATTAGTTACATTTTACACACTCTGGTAAGAAAACTTACGGCATATTTCAATAGGATTGGTTTAAATCGTCTAGAAATATATTTTCCAATTCACTTCCTTTGAGTCTTTACGCAAAGGTAATGAAGTTGAGTACATATTTATTGTCCTTTTAAGGTGTTTTTCGTTCAAAGTTTGTTTACGGTTTTAAATTCCTCAAAACACTTTGCTTTATATATTAATCCAAACTCATGACGCTTAATATTTTTTCAACGTCAAAATTGTAAAATGCAATTAACGCTGAGAAAACAAAAATGAATAAAAAATATATATTTGAATATGTACTCATTCAGCTTCAATATCGTTTTTAAACTTAAACGGCATTATGATTGCTGTGCACTCTTTAGTTATGCTCTCATTTTCAAATCTTGAGGCCTGCATTCTTGATGACTCAAACATACACATTATTTTCAGATTCGGCAGATATTGGAAGGAAAGGGAGTACACATTACGGAGATTAGCAACATAAAATGCGAGTAAGTATATGTTAAATCCTCATAATTATTCCGTATAATGTAGCGCGTACTTTAACAACAACAAATTTACATGTTATACCTAAAGTGAAATCCTTCATTTGAGATACCATTGACAAGAGCGGAAGAGGTTATGTCATGAAAAGGAAGTGACAATTGTTAAAATGCTCAGCTAAAATTCGTAGGTCGCTTTTTAGGCATTCGTCTTACATGGAACATTCCAAGTAGAGATGTGTTGCTCATCGTCCTAATATCAGTTGATTCAAGTAAAAGAAACTATTGGTCTAAACGGAATTTCTTGGCGAAGTTTGCTGCCCACTGTAAGCCATACCGAAATTGAGAAAAAAAAATACCCTCGGAGAACTGAGCACCCCAGGTAACGTCAAAGTTTGATGAGCCTTTCAGATTGGCTAGTAAGACCCGCTACCCGCGCCCGTTTCGGAAGCGAGCATATCAATGCCAAACTTTGTCGCTTAATTGCGTTTCTCTTTTGGTATATGATACTCTTTGGCACCAAATGCTTCTAAGAATAGCGTGGAGCAAAATTTAGATAATTGAATTCGTACAAGAGCTATGACATTTTCAAAGATTCGTGTCAAGTTATGTGTATTTAATTTATAAAACAGGAGGCTGAGATATCTGCCTAAGTTTATGCAACCACGCAATGTATTCATGCAGTCGTTAATTTCGCAGACAAACGTCCATAGCCGAAACGATGCTCAATACCAAACAAATTAAAGAAAACAAGTAATACAAGCCACAGGAGTGATTACCTATAAATGTGATAGCACTTATCTTTCCACACACGGGCAGATGTTCGGTCCCGACGACCAAGAACTGGAGCGCGAGAGCTGAATTCACGATATTTCAATCCGCGCCAATGTTTCCGCTAAATCTGGCGTGAATACTTTCTGCTACAATTAGCGAAAATGTTTCCCGTCAAATTTAGTGAGGAAACTGAATTGGTGCATCGGTCACGTGACGCATAAATGTTCCGTTAAAATTTCCCCCAAATTTAGCGGAAAATGGACATCACGTGACCAACGCAGCAATGCAGTTTCCCCGCTAATTTTTCCTGCCAGATTTATCGGCACAAACTAAATTGGTGCGTGGGTCACTTGACGTCAATTTTCCAATAAATTTGGCTTGAAAATATTCCGCTAAATTTAGAAAACATTTCCCGCCATGTTTATCGGGGAACGTATTCGATGCCAGACTCCAAACAGACAGAAAACTGGGATAAGTAGCTCGATAATTGTTTCGGACTAAAACATTTCCCGAAGAGTTTTACTTGAAGACATTGATATTCGGCTGGCGTTGAAGCGTGATGCTCTCTCGCTCAATGGAGCCAGTTTCCTATATGTTCCGTCTGCTCCAGCGTTTCGAGGGTACGGTTAGTGTTCTTCTTCTTGAATCAGACCTTTCGCTTTAGTGTTCAGAGACAAGCTTGCCCTCCGTCCCTTCTTCATAAGCCCATTTCTCGCCCCTTTACAGTAAAGCTCTTTATGGCTAAGGTTCTGTGATTTTTTCATGCGCGCCAACGAAAGTTCTGCGCTCGCACCATCGCACGCGCCACATGCGCACGCCTTCCCCGTATAAAAGATTCGAAGTAAATAACCGAAATAAAGGGTTGAAAAAGGCGCGTGCAAGATGCCATCTGGTTTAAGCTTTTGCTTCAGGACAGTTACTTCTACAGACGCCGTCACGTGCGGCGCGTGGAACACCATTCCTTGCATTCTCATTGAGGCTTGTGTAGTTTAGAAATGGGTTTGTTCAGTAGATTCGTGATCATTAGGCACCATTTTCAAGATCAGTAGACTCTCACGTAGATAATAAAGGTTTTTCAAAAATTTGCCGATGTGCGACCCGCGTCGGCCCCGCCTACGGTCGCACCACCCTCTCTTTACCGTCCTTCCAAGCCGCTTGCGTGCTTAGTTTCCTTTCCTTCCGCTCTCCGGGGGTGGCGGTCCCGTCGCGCGTGTCTATTTTCCCCCGGGTGGCGGTCCCGTCAAGCGTGTTTAGTTTCCTCTGACTCCTGGAGGCGGCGATAGTCGTCCACGCGAAATAGTGACCCCCGATCAAAACAAGAATAAATGTGTGTGCGTATCTTTCGTCATGATGGCCACCGATAAAGACAATAAATGTGTTCGTACCTTTGTTCAAAATTTCGTGTCACGTCTGTGTCGTGTGCTAAACAGCTTCGCCGCTCAGTCACTTTCACAGAGTGGAATGGCTCATGTTTTTCTTTACTTCCTTCCCACATCACGCCCTTATTGGATTTAACTTTTTCATTTCAGTTCTCTTTAGCCAAGCTATTACAATGGGCGGAACATATTTCCTTACAATGTACAGTCTCCGGCGATATGAAAGACCCACTGGGAGCGCGTGGCCGAGGCGGTGGCTGGCGGGGGCTCTGCAAGCGCTCCGGGCAGTTCCATTCCGCTTCCAGGGGAGGACGCTCACTCGGGACTCGGCACAAACTGATAAGCGCGTTTCGCTTTATCTGAGCCCGAGTGAGCGTCCTCCCCTCAAAGCAGAGTGGAATTGCCCGGAGCGCTCGCAGCGCCCCCGCGAGCCACCGCCTCGGCCAGACGCTCCCAGTGGGTCTTTCATATTGCCGGCGAGTGTACAATCAGGCAAATATTTCGGGAGTTTGTAAATAAATTTTCGATAATTCATTCGCAAATTATTGCTTAAAACTCGTATCCTGCCATCCGCCAATTACGATACATTCTTACCGAAGATTTTAATTCTTCGTTAAAGTTACTTTATTTAAATTATTTTCAGGCGTTAATAAAACGCCATACGGTACGTCACCGTGTCTCGCTATATGTAAGTACCAAGCAGATAACACGTATCTAGCAACGCCCGTTCCTGGGTAACAAAATCGGAGCGAGTACGATCATATGTTATCCAGAAACTCTTAACACTTCTAAGGAAAGTACAGTCACTGACAGATAAGCGACGCGAGGGCATAAATATCAGGTTAACGCTTCTTGCTTTCGAGATTCGTTCCACGGCGTTGGTATGATGCCGTAATCTCAAAAAGGTGGAGCGATACTATTTAGATGCTCAGGAGTCGCCACGCGCTGCGTTTCTTACTCCCTGCCACTTGCTATAATATTTCAAAATATTAATAATATTTACGTTTGGTATAGCGAAAACATAATCACGCTCTTGTTTAAAGAGTTTCTCAAGTTCTGAAGAGCCAGTTAAAGGAAGAATATATATGCTTCAAATATCATTCCTATTAATTGATACCAGTGCTGTAGGCATTGCCGAAAAAAAACGTAAAGGATTACATTACTCGTTCCTAGCAAATAAAAAAAAACGTGTTAACAATACAATTTTTTTTAATACATTTCGCTCTGTAGCCACGTAAGCCAAGAAACCCCCTGCCTTACCTCAAAAGGAAAGGAACGCGTTACCGTCACGAATATAAAGGAACGCACTCTACTTTCTGAGCTACTTCGTTTAAATTAGGAGTTAACTAAGGCTGAGCACTTAATCGAATAACCTACCGATTAATCGATTATTGTTTTAATCCTGATTAATTTTTTAACCGGTTAATCGGTTAAATATTGGCAAACAAAAAAAAAGTTAATATTCAACACTTTTACCACACAGACATGGACTGGTACACCCGTATGAACGTAAACTCTATAGCACTCTAAAAAAAGCCCGTGCGTCTACGTTCCCGCACCACACTCGCTGAGCTATCTCTGTAAGTTCAAACTTACGGAGGCAGCTCAGCGAGCGACGATGCCGAAACAAAAGCTTAGACCAAAAAAAACGCTGTCTTAGTTTTGACATTAGGCAATGAAAGCATGACGTTTTTTAATGCTTAATGTCACAACTCAGACTGCGTTTTTCGGTCCAAACAAATCTTCCGGCATCGTTATTCGCTGAAGTACCTCCTCAGCTGCGCAGACTGGATCGCCGAGTATTGTGCGGGAACGTAGACGGACGGCCTTTTTTTTTCTTTCTTTAAAGTTGTGAAATTTTGACCTTTGTAACTCCAAAATTTGTAACTCCAAAAATTGTGTTATTGGTATACGTGTCCAAGCCAATTTAACCCAGCAAAGACTATTGTGAACTATCAAGAGAGTTCGCTAATGTCAGAGAATATCAACCAGTCTCTTTGCTTCGATCTACTCCTGAAGTAATGATTTTTGAGTGTGGATCAACTTTTGACTTTTCTCAACTACACTTCAGGGTTCACTTAAAATCCGAAATTGTACATTGTGCCCTTTATCACATATTCAGCAAACGCAAACAGTATAATGTTTACTTGTCTGAACGAGCATTACTCGTTTTACTTGTTTATGCACGAGCATAAAAAAACGATTAATCGACTGACTAATAAATTGATTAAAAAGCGGCGATTAATCAGGTTAAACTTTTTAATCGACGCCCAGCCCTGGAATTAAGAGGTTTTATTGTTTTGACGTTACAGCTTTGCATAAGCACTATATTACAAGAAATATTATGTTCATAAAGAAACAGAACATAGTTACTTTATCTTATTCGCGTTTTCACCTCAATACTACCAAGAGAAAACACAAAGAAAAAAAAAACGCATGGCTTGGAGCCTAGAAAGAGGAAAATAATTAAGCGTAATTGTTTTGTGCGGGAGATATAATAAAATGAGCCGCGTAACAACTTCACACATTACTCGAAATAAGTAACATAAGTACATTCCCCATTATTGTTTTGAACATGTAGGGAGTACGTTACGCGTTACCGGAAAAAAGTAAAGCGTCACCGGTAACGCGGTTACTTGTAACGCATTACAGCCAACGTTGCTTTATACCAAGCTGTGACAAGAAGCAAATTACTTTTTTTTGCTGTTATATGCGCTTCTCGAGTTATTACCTTTATTATATCATAGTCATAAAATATACTGGATATTTGAAAGAAAAAAAAACTGCTGACGCTTTTACGTTTCAGTGCTGGACAAACCTTACACGTAAAACATGGTAAACAAAAGTTCATCTATGGCCAAAAACATATACTTACACAATAGATGTAGACTAAGCAATATGTACTGCACATTGCTTCCATCGAAGTGTTTTATAATATCGTATGGAACGATAACTATGCGAACAGGTTTGAAAAGTGCACGCAGAACAAAAGTCGGAATTACCCCCCCCCCCTTACTTCTCCAATTGAAGCGTAGAAAGCGAATACAGTTAGAAAGTGTACATCTTTATTTCAACGGCGTCTTGCTGACCACTTTCACGAACAAAGCCCAGAATACGGAGACGTCGCTTCTACCCATCATTGTTCAAATAGCTTGAGAAAGTACTTCTGTACCTAGGCAGGGCAAAATTGGTTTAACCACATTTTATTGAAACTACAGGATGTGTCTTTCAAGCTCAAACACTGCAGTGTATCACGGAAGCGTACTCGGAGCTAGGCAATATTTCTTTTAATTATGATATTAATATTTTTTGGCGACAGTAGTGGTACTCTGGGCGGCTTGTAAATTTAGTGAAGTGCAAATATATGGAAGTGTAAACTCACCCCAACTAAAAATTTTAAAATCAAAACCGACATTTTTTTGGTGACTCCAAAGTCAGGTAAACTAATGTACACGATATGCGAACAAGCATTATCGTGGGTTATTAAGGCATTTCATTGGGCAACACGCGGAGCTAGAGCAAAATTTCTTGTATTTTTTCTGTTCTTTTAGAAATTTGAGGTTTTAAGTGCTTATAGCGAGATTTGTTATCTGCGTGAATAGAGCTTGACTTTATGTTGATCCGTAGAAAACAAAGGATTTTAGTTCTGAGCTCTAATTCACGCGAGTTTGCTGATCGGTATTAAAAAAAAAAAAAACACCCAGCAGCTCTTTTGCGTTATATTGAATTCTGAAGAGCTTCAAACTGGTGTCTGATATCTTATAAAGTGAGGTAGGTCAATTTAGACCTCCCGGTCGCTTCAGAATAAAGTGACAATAAAACGAAAACGTATCCATGAATGTCGACCACTGTATGAGTTTTTCAAAACTAAAACATGCCATCTTCAAAGTAAACTTAAAAAAAGTAAACAATATTTTCATATTTGTTACAGCCACCCATTTCAAAATTATTTTTTTTCAAGGGATCGTAATCGTCTCCACCAGTATGATGTATGTCAGAAAATATTTTTTGGAGGGGAGACTACAAGGAGACTACAAGTCAGAACATTAATCCTTCCTTCGCGCAGTGTAAATAAATATTTCCATTCGGTCGCTCTTTTGTTGTACTTTTTTGTTTAAATGAATCCAAACACATTGTTTTTATTCATGAGCTAGCGGGTCTTCTTTTTAAAATTACCGATTCCCGATGTGTTTTGCATGTGGAGCTGAAGGAAGTTCATCCGTCCCAGTAGTAGCGACCACCTTGTTCATGTTTTCCTACTTTAGATGTTTATATTACTTTATAATAATTCGATATATTATTTTCCAAAATAGGGTGTCCCGCTGTAAAATACAAAGAAAAATTGCGCTTTCTGGAATCGAAGTTTTTACACGGAGTCAGATTTTAGAATTTGCCACGCGGCTACTTCCCTTTATCTGCAGTTTGAACATTTCGTCTTCATACGAAGCAGTGTGCTTATTTTACCCAAGTGATAATTAAACAATGATTTATCTACCATCACGAGAATTAAACAGTTATCTAAACAATTAGATTGATTTCCTAGATATCTAAAACAAAACTCCTTTGAAATATTTACCTCGGCTGACATATTTTACTTAGAGAATAGTAGCTCGTCGTAAAATTACACACCAGCTCTTGCTAAAACTCGGATAAATAAATTTTTGTTTCACGCCTTTTCAAAGGAATGTGTAAGCCATTTGAAAACAGAAATAAGAAAATATTTCTGAAAAATCACGAAAAAAAAGGGGAGAGTCTTATGCGTGGGAGACTTCAGCCTCTTCAGCGGGCAGGGCAAGCGACTCATTGCGAGCCACTCTAGCAGACGCGGAATTGTAGAAAAGCTGCACCACACTCTTCTGCTGTTTGCTGTTGTGCGCATCTTTCTATGTAGAACAGAATTTGGTTGTCTCAATTCTAACAACGGCTGTGAAATATTTTCACGCAGAGTAACACATTTCTTTATACAGCGAATATTTAAAAAATGAATTAGCAAAATATGGGTGAATATTGTTTTTAGTAATCACTTTAAAGTTTTCACCTGACGCCTGCCATTGTCATAACGTAATCTTGAAATGCTATTTCTGTATTAAAGTGTCATTTTAAAAACATTGGAAATAATTGGCTTCACACCTTGTATTGTTTTAATGTACGTTTACGAAAAAAAATGTTGTGTATATCGATTAGAAAAAATTACTCCATTTCATTTGAAGGTATTTTTGTGCTCAAAAACCTCGAAAAGTACTCTTCCTAGTATATTTTATCACGTATGCCTCCTCAAATAGGCTCCTGTTTTTTAACGTTTCAACACATCTGGTTAGAGGTAACCATAAAAGAAAACTGGAGACGATATGAATATAACAATTTCGTATTTTCGCAACAAAAATTAACAATTTTTATTACCTTCTGTAATGACCATGAGAACAAAGACGTAGTAGGACTGCAGTTTAAATAGTTTTTCATCGCGAAAGGATGATGGACCGATAGGTCACAAATTATTATCATATTTGAGTACTAAAGTATGTTAATATTGTGTCGCCGATCCGTTTATGGACTTATTTTACCCTCGGCGATTTCATGTGTACGGAAGATGGGAAATACTATCTGCACCAAAGAGAGAGTTAGCCCGTTTAATCGAGTGTTGGTGCAAGCTTTTAGTCAGAAAAAACCCTGCAAAGTACGTTTTGCTTTTATCATGACGCTAATTTGTTCTTGCATTGTTTTAGGGGAGGCGAGGTGACGATGGATTTAGAAATAGCTGATGACGGCGATAATAAAATAGATGAAAATGTAAAAGAAGCACTGCGAAACGCTCAACCGACGTTTGGAGACTTTAATATAGAAGGAGATGGGATTGACGGTAAGTGGCCCTGTTTGTTGTCTTAACATATATTTTTTGAATGGCATCTAGAACATCCAGTAGCAATTCCGCATTATTGTGGTCCAGTGATACACAAAGAAAAGAAAATACACCATGATTATTATTTCTAAAGTTCTTGAGGTACCCTATTTAAAAAAGAAAGATATTTAGATGCAGTCACAAACATTTTGGATGAGATCTACAAGTATTCTACAAATTTGTTGCCTTGCGATATGTCTAGGAAATATCACTATATATTTAAAGTTCACACACCATTTGCAATAAAAAAATGTTTAGCTCTCATTTCACCTTTTAATGGTTCTCACACGTCTTAAATTTGGTCCCTGGATATTGATTAATTCTAATTCTTAAGCAAAATATTTAGGACAGCCTTAGAGATTCACAAAAGGCGTGTTATTTTAGTTAAAAAAAAGAACCGTGGTGTGATCTTAAAGAGACCAAATGGGGTCGCCGGTAATCCTTGACAAAGAAAGCAACTGAAAAATACGTATTAACGGAGCCTTCGTATACCCCCTTCACCGCCCCCCCCCCCCCCCCCCCCCCCCGCTTTCAACCCTTAACAAAATGTTTGATTCATTTTTATTTTTTGTCAGGCGATTTAATACTGTCAGGAAACTACCTAAATTTAATATTTTGCTGCAGACACGTATATTTTTAAACATACCAAAAGCTCAACGGTTTGAAAAACTGAGACACTAGCACGGAAGCTCATGGCCGGAAGTGGCGTGGCTACACTCGACCACATTTTTTTCTTTGCTTCTCCGTCGTGTGTAGCAGACGACGCTGTTGCGTGCACCGTTTCTCGTGCGATTGCTTAGCGCGTATATCCCTTCTGCTCAATGTTCTGCGCTTGAAGACCAATTGGCCGGTACCACGAACGACAGTTCCAAAGTCGCGCCCCCGCGTCCGTCGGAAAGTTGGTCTGTAGTGAGCCGCAATTGCTTCGTCTAACCTGTCGTAAATCGACATATAAGAATGACGTGTATATATATTTCCTCTGATCTGTGCAAAATTTATTTTGTCGATCAACGTATTTCTAGTTTTTAGAGGTCACGAAAAGTGGGGTTAATATCCTTTTTATATTTTTAATATAGAATATGTGTGCCTTACATGAACCATGACTTCCAATATATTTGGTGGGCATAATTTCAACTCCACGTTACCGTGAAAAAGAAAGTGAGCGCGACTGAAACCGGCCCATTTTCGAACGACTGTTTACGGGAGGAAAGACGACAATTGTCGAGCTGTAAATCATGCCTGGGTTGTTGGGCTCTTATAGCTCATGCTCACATGAAACCACGGCAAGAATAAATAAATACCCTGTCAGTCTTCCTTTAAAGGGCCCATGAAACGAATTTTTATTAGGATTGTACTAATAGCACATCGTTCAGTGGGCCAAAAGAAAAAAGGTAGAAAGTCAAAAGCGAGACTTTCGGTACGAGAATTTTGAAAACACGGCGGACTATTTCGTACCTCCTTCCCTTCGTAAGCTCTCTGCCTTTTCACTGTGATACATCCGCGAACCCCGCAGCGCGTCACCGGGCATCCGCAGCGAGTCATCTGGCCCAAATGCACGTCACACGGCACCGGACCTCACTTAATCCCTTCACCCCTAAGCTGACATTGTGTTGCAGGCTAAGCACTTGCCGGACCAATCAGCCACCTCCCTCTCATCACCTGACCTCATTCTCTGCGCGTCGGTATGCGTGAGGGAGCGTGATCACATGGCAATAATGTGGCTCGCCCAACGAGCACGTAGCTTCCACAGCACTGTCAGCTTCGGGGTCAACGAGGTGGGGAAAGCAACTTTTGTCAGAATTTTGAGCGACGGGCTCATCTTCTAGGGGGATAATGGCTGTGCCCGGGTACACTGACGAGATTACGAGAAAAAGGGGACTTCCCCCTTTCCGTCTTCTTGAACTGTTTGGTAGAATGGGCGATTTATGAGTTGAGGAGGAAAGCTGAACAGGAAAAAGTTTGAAACGCGTTTCATGACTGCTTTAAGGCTGCTTATGACAAAAAAAAATATATTTTAGTCGTGCAAAACTTTACTTATTTTTGCGCTAAAACGTTGTTCTTATACTAAACTCATCTGAATATTTAGAATCTACGTTCGGTGTTCCGCAAGAGTGCTATGAACGATAACATTATTTGTTTTAACAAGGCTAATGTTAGACTGGTTTCTAAACATTAAACCTTAGTTGTTGGTTTCTCATTTTGATAACTGTATATTATTACTGCAGAATAAGAGATGTGCATATCATTTTTTAGTTTAGCGATACATTTTTATGGGCTTTGTTCTGGCCTCAAAATGAAGCACCTAAGACGGATAATGAGAGCTTCAATATACGTGAATTCAGATATACGGTAGAATTATTTCTGGCTATTTTGCCAATTGTATGCATTTGTGTTCCTTAATTAAATTCCTGAGAATGGTAGCAGATTACAAAAACTTACAAGAACACACATTGTCATTTGTCCCCAGTCCCTAGTATTTTGTTAAAAAAATTATCTCACCAGCTAGCAAACAGTTCTTTATTTCTATTCTCACTTCCAGAATTGTTTTTTTTTTAAATATAGCAGTTTATTTTTTACGAATACAACTGTTATAATGACGGACTCTCTTCGCATAAGAGAGGCTTTTCCGAACCCTCAGGAGGGAGGACTTAATAATCTAAAAACTGTAGGGTTCATATTTGTATGACGATTCATATGTTCCTTAAAAAAACAAAAAAAAAACATTAATGTAAAAACTTTATTTTTCAGCTACTCTTGTCGACCAGTGCCAGAACGGTCTCTCGCAACTGGGGAAAAAACTTGGAGGATTAAAGTGCGAGAGAAAAGGGAATGACTATGTACTTGCTTGTGACGACACACGTAGCACTTACATCGAATCGGTGGATATTGAAGGTATTCAAGTACACATGTGTCAAGGTACGTTGATGTTACGCTCCCTACGTCGGCTACATTCATAACGTGTTACAACTTTGTTTTGGTATGCGAAATATAGGAACTGTACATACTGTAACCTCTACAAAATCCCTTGTTGAATATGGCGGGAGCGATGTCCTCAGACATCATTCGCATTCCAATAACTTGTTTTCTTTTTCTTTTATGTTTTTAAGCTGTTAAACAGTCAAGCTGTTTTAACAGCTTTTATACCAAGCCCCCACCAGCAATGTGTTTCATTGTTGGATATAAAGCTATTATTATTATTTATTTGAGCTTTGAAACGTGTTTTTTATATATATATATTTTGATATGAGCATTTTCAGCACGGATTCTTAATTAACTGTGATTTTCCTGGGTGTTTCCGTTTCTAATCTTGCAGAGGGAAAAAAAGTCACTTTTTTTTCATTGTGACGCAAAATAGCTATGTTTCAGGGAATTTCCTATCTAGACGAATCGCGCAAGCGTTGGGTTTAGATAACGTTTTTGTTCTCAAGTTATGAAGCGTAGACTCGGCCGCGGTAGAAATTGTTTTTCCTGACTTTCAAGAGTCGTACGTTTGGTTTAATTTCGTATTGTTGGTTTTTGCATCTACCTTGGTTCTTTATTTTGTCTCTGACTTGGTGTGGACCGTTAAGATATCTTAATGTATTTAAGTGTGTCTAGGCCTTTTATTTTGTATTAAAGAAAGGGTAAAATTTACCTTTCAGATAAATTTGTGATAAATTTCGACGGCCACTATCAGTGACCTACTAAAGTTATATTTGTACTTTTATATTTCTTGAAAGCGCAACTTTCGGTCTCATCCCTTAAACATAGTAAAACTTGAAGATGTGGCAAGTTTAAAATTTGTCTATTTCAAATAACCCATTTCGTTTTTTTTTTTGCGTTCATTTAAAAAAAAAAATTTTTTTGACCAGGAATTATTTTTATAACTGTAATATATGTTTTATAGGCTCTGCCTTATACCCTTTAAAGTGGAATGTGCCTTGGTATTTCGCTAGAAAAACAGGCAAACTTTTCAATTTTGGGCACCCTGTATGAGTTTTAAAATGTGTTGCTATATCCCTCTGGCGATATGTCCACTCACTGATGGTGGACTAACTATGAGGTGCCAGAAACAAAAACCGAAACGGTCTAAATACAAAAAAAAAGAATCGTTTTACGGAGCAAAACAATCCTCTAAAATTAAACATCTGTTTTTTCATTAGATACCAGAGCCAATTCATAGCTCCGAGCGTGTGACATGACTGCACGTGTTCCTTCATCTAACCGGAAGGACACGTTACACAAAACACAAGGAGGCGAGGTCCGGTGTTGTATTCCCTGATTGCCCTCCCCGACGGGTCCCTATCACTTCGTCGAAACTGGTTTTCGTGGAATCACGTTTCCTGGACAACTTTTCATGGAAACACGTTTTGTGGACACATGTTTCGTCGAAACAGTTGTTTCATCGACACTGGTTACGCGAATGGTAGACTGTAGGGACATTTCGTCAAGCGTGTATCACTGGGGTGCGCGCTAACTCAGCCCCCGGCTGCGTTCACGCCACCTCGCGGCGACAGTAAGTCTATTTTAAGCTGTCGATGAAGCGATTTGTCAACAAAACAATCTGTCGATGAAACAACGCGTGTCGATGAAACGGTTTGTCTATGAAACGTCGTTCGATGAACTGACTGCCACGGCTCCATGACTTTGGACTAAGACGGCCTCTGTGGATCTTTCCGGGGCCGAAGGGTTGTAGTGGCGTGCAGTGTGGCGCGAATGTAAGACCAGTGGACGTTTTGCGAGCAGGTTAATCTTTTACTAATAATGTTTTCGCGATGGCCTAATAGGGGTCTATGCCACGGCGAGCTTGGGTGAGAAAGCACTAGCGAGGACGTTGGAACAGACGAAAAAAAGTAAAACTAAGGCGTCTCAATAGCAATGTTTTGTTGCTGCATTGGTAAAACGTTGGGTGCCTTTGCGGTTGAGGGAAAGTAGTGCGCTGTTTGTTCTTTTATCCAAGTGCCTCCTCGGTTGGTTTTTTTTTTTTTTTTTTTTGCTACCTAAAACAATTTTATTTTCACTTACCGTCTCGGTCTTGTTCCGGTCGCTTCAAGGTGAGTTCATTACCAGGGCGTGGAGATATTGCCGAGGGATTTACCAATATATTATAAAATGACAGAAGCGCCCAACACTGATAAGGATGCCTGTTTTTCTAAGTGCAGATATTTCTTAATATTGATTCTTAAAAATAGGCTTTCGAGTCAAAACATTACATTTATAAAACATATTTCTTTGTAGGAAACCAATGTTTAATATTAAAAATAGGGTTTAAAGAATAATCTCAAAATTTGAATTTTTTCTTTTAAAAATATTCATGTGATGATATCAAAGGACGTAATGAGACAACTGATTTAATTTAATGGTGCTATACACAGCTTCGTTCGCTCTTTTTATGGACATAAAATATCCCTACAGCTTAAGTTTGTCGCAAATAGCAGCCTATAAAAATAGTTGTAGAAAATCGAACTGATATGTAAGTTTGCCGACTTATATATTGAAAAAAAAAAGAAAAATGCCTAAAAATATGTTAATATATTAAGACCGCTTCATGGTGGCCACAAAGGTATAGACGAAATTAAAATAACGTTGATACAAAAACCTCGAAAGAAGACTGATTCAAACATTCGATCTTCGATAGCCGGGAAAAACGATCATTCCCACCGCGATTGCCTGTGCGATGCATAACTCGAGAACAGAAACCCTAGCGGATCCCACGGTTCCCACCTTTCTTTTAGGTGGACAATTCACTAGGATATATATTGTTTTCGTCAAAATTAAAAATTAGGCCCTTTTTGCGCACGCGAGTTTAGATTAAATCACCCATTAAAATATTCAAAAGGCGTTTTTTTTTTCTTTATTACTTATAGAGCAATTTTGGTGCATGTCATTCCTCGCATACGGAGCGTGTGATTGGAGACAAGCACTCGGCGACTGCTGAGGCAGCGTTCGTTTTCACTACGAACTGAACCTAGTTCACGCCGAATGCTGACGCAGCCCCTCGCGTCCTATATTTACTCACAGTATATATGATCGAGCAATGGAAAAGAGGCGGTAGAGCGGTCTTTTGAAAACGGTCTTTTGGATTGAACAAAAGTAGAGGAATAAGGAAGTTTACACAGAAATCGCGTTTTCTGCCTCGAATATTGTGTAAATAGCTTCGCAGGTCGAAGAAGTGCAAATGTGTTTTGTTTATTGGCAGCTTCCACGACTTACGCCATATAGTGGAGCGCAACCCTCTCCGACCTATCCGCCGAAGAAGTGAGGGAGAGGAGGAGACGAGAGCCCGCGGGGACTTCAGAACGTTCAGCTCTGATTGGAGGAATTAGTGGGCAGAGCTAAAGCTATAGCAGCCTTTGTCTCCAGTGTATTTGTCGAACGCGTTAGAACGCGGAACGCCGGCGTCAGGTTCTGGGCGCTCGCTTTCGAACGCGCTCGATGAGTGCCGTGGAGACAAAGGAAGCTAGCTTTAAGCCTATAGCCACTAATCAACGGAATCGGAGCTCGGAATTTTTACAATCTCGCGCGCACTCGACTCCTTCTTTCCATCGGTTTCTCGGCGCATTCTAATCCACCTGCAGCCTCATCGCACCGTCTCCAGAAGGGTCCCTGTCGTTTCGTCGCAACTCGTCTTGTAAAGTTGCGTTTTGTGGATAACTTTTCATGGACACATATTTCATAGACACACGTTTTGTCGACACGGACGTTTCTTCGACAATCGTTACGGGAATTTCATGCTGGGACATTTCGTCGCGCATGTATCACTGGGGTGCGTGTCAACCGATGCGGCCATCCCGTCAGTCTGCGGCGGCTCATTGCAAACATGTTAACCCACCTGACCCACCCCTAAAGACCGCTTTGCGGCGACAGTCTGATGCACCATACTATAGGAAATAGCTAATCTGATCTGTAAATGGGACGATTTGTTCATGAAACAAACTGTCGATAAAATACAGCACGATGTGTCGATGAGACGTCGTTCGATGAATTAACTTCCGCCGGTCTCCACCTTCCCGCGGCTATGTTTCTCAGCCTAGCTCCGGGGTAAATGTTTGGCACCCTGACATTCGAATCCTACCTACATGCAGCGTTGCTTTGGGTCGCGTCCCGGGTCATTCGACCCGCGGGAGTTTCTTGGAGCTCAAGTTCAATCGCGTGTCCCACATTTGCGAATGGCAACGGCGGCTTCATACTACCATGTTTTTCGTTTATCTCCGCTGGAAGATTTCACTACGAAGAGTTTGTGCGTTCTACGGTTCCGAAATTACTACTGGACAATATTTGCCAATTTCAGTATAATCGATAAATCTACATGGTAAGCATTGTTCGTTCCTTTTATCATGAGACTGCCTTTCGCTCGCCGGCACATTGAGTAAATGTGTTGGGATTGAGAAGATCGCGGAGGTTTTCGTCGCGGCATGGAGAGGATATTTGCTGTCATTTTCCAGCTCTTGCATAAAAACGCCAGCGTCGAATGTGACCCCGAACGTAACATATACCTCTGAGCTGAGTTAACTGGATATTCGCTACAAACAAAGCTTGGGTGTTACGCAGATTGTCTATGCATGTCCGGACGTTTTCAATACAGAACGCATCTCCTAGGAGCGTCACCATGGCGCCACTGTCTTGTCACACGATTCCAATACGATTGAAACTGTATATATTTTGAGAAACTGCACTTTTTCTTGCAGTCTAGATAAAGTCTTGACTATTTCTTACTACCGTTTTTAAAGTTGGAAAGACGCTGACACAGCACAGTGAGCTGGTTGCTCCAAATTAAATCAGTGACCGTTCCAGAATAAAATATAGATGCATGCGCATATATATATATATATCTATATTAATATATATAACGTAGTTCTGGGCTGGTATGAAGTAGGTTGCATTTGAAGCGTGCAACCAAAGAGTAACCCCTCGGTGCGACTCCTAGCAGGTAGATT